GTATTCAGTGTATAAGACGCATTCAGATTTTCAGCCTCTTTTTTGAGATTTTCAGCCTCTTTTTTGAGATTTTCAGCCTCTTTTTTGAGATTTTCAGCCTCTTTTTGGAGGGAAAAAGGTGTGTCTTATACTCCAAAAACACAGTACTAATTTTGCATGGTTTCTATGAGTGAAAAGTTGATTAAACATGTAAATACAGCTTAAAACTGAAAGCGTGCAGGACTTTTTCACACAGCTGTATGTAGTTGGTTTGAGCTCCGAGCTTGGCAATTTGATTGCAAAAGTTTTGTTCCCATTCAAGGAGACTTCTTTACTGAAAATGTTTCCTTGAATGGGGACAAAATGTTTGGAACCAAATTGCCAAGCTTGGATCTCAAACCAACAACATAATTAATAGAATTATATAGTAGAATAACAGAATTATTGGGAAGGGGGAGAGTGAATATACACAAACATATAAAATCACACACACACTTTATCCCACACCAATCCCATATACACACATCCAGTATGAATTGACAAGACTTTGGTGATATTAACTTTCACTCCACTCACTACTGACTTCTTATAAAGATGTTACTACTTTAAATTAATAATTGTTCAAATTCTGCTTGCTAACTTATATAATAAGAAAATTCCTACTTCAAACCATGATTTAAACATTTTATCAAATTATTAAATATTATTTCTGAGCCCTATGGAATAACTTTATTAAACTAAGAATATACACTATAGATTCACATCAGGAGGTAAGAGTCTCAGAATTGGTATTAATATACTTAACAATTTTAAGTGATTCTATCCTAATTATTCTCCACAAAATAAAAAAATACTTATTATTATTATAAAAATGAGGAATATTTTTATTACTTACAGATGTTCATCAAGTTTCTTTTTCAGAATGACTGACTATAAATGAAAAGGAAAAAAAGAATTATTTGAAACAAAGGACTTTTTTCTATACTTTTAACTGAAACAGGATTGACATTCAGGACAAAGAACATGGGGAAAAGAACTAGGCTGCCTAATTTCCCTCCTCATATGTTTATATGCAAATTCAAGGTATTTATTGATGTATTCATATGCCAAAGCATCTCAAAGCAATTTATAATAAAAACAGCAATACAAGTAATTAAAAATACTTAAAACAATGCAAACAATATAAAACAGTATTCTCTAAAAAAAAGTCCTTAAAAGATATAGCAAGTCTTTTTTTTTCTTTCTAACATTCAAATTGAGAAGGGTTGAATGGAAAGAGTGAGTTCTGAATATGTTCCTATAGTTTGTTAAGTCAGGTGCTCCACCCAAAAGTCAGGATGAGGGCTTTCCACAGCATCAGTGCTCTTCACAGGGAAGGCCACCCAATATTCAGCAACTCTTGGTTTACAGAGCAGGATCATGTCTGATGATTTCAGTGACCCAGGCTAGTAACATGAAGGCAACTTGGATCAAGTTACTGAGGGGTTAATATATCCTTAAAACCTTGAAAATAGTTCAACAACTAACTGACAGCCAATACAGCTACTTCAAAAGAGCCATAAAGGGTACATAGCTACATGCGTCACTCAGCAACTTAGTTGATGCAACATGTACCAAATACAAGAGCAGACCCATACAGAGGACATTGCTATAATTTAAGTATGAAGTTACAAGCATGTGAATGACTATAGCTAGACTATCCCTGTACAATAACGGACATAATTTGTACAGCACATCAGCGAACAGCAAAAATTCTAACCACAGAGTTCACCTGCCTCTCCTATGATAATGATAACTTTAGAAGTTCCTCCCTCTTTCTAAAGGAGTGAAATGACATTTACAACAGATTAAATGCTCCAACTCTGAATCAAGGAGCCACAATCCAAAGCCTCCATCTTGTTCAGAATCAGTTTTATTTTAAAGGAAGTCCTCGACTTACAACTGAAATTGCTGCCAAAATTTCAGTTATTAAATGAGATATTTGTTAAGTGAATTTTGCCTCATTTCACAACCCTTACTTGCCATAGCTAAGTGAATTGTTGCAGTTGATAAGTTAGTAACCCAGTTGTTAAGTGAATCTGGCTTCCCAATTGACTTTGCTTGTCAGAAAATGGCAAAGGGTGATCACATGACCATGGGACACAGCAACGGTCATAAGTATGAACAAGTTTCCAAGCATCTGAATTTTGAACACACGATCATGGGGATGCTACGAAGGTCGTAAGCGTGAAGAATGGTCATGTCACTTTTTTCAGTATTGCTGCAACTTTGAGTGGTCATTAAATGAACTGTTGTAAGTCGAGGACTCCTTATACTAGTATTCAACTACTCTATTACCACATCCAGAGTATGCTTCAGAATATCAGTCATCAACCCATCGTTGACATTTACTTGTCCCTAGCTGTTAAAAAGTGATGAGGACACAACAAAAGCTACCAAGCTGTAAAGGCAGTCACCCAATCTATGCCACCTTCTCTGAAATTATCCCTGCAAGTAGTTTAACACAGTGCTCTTAATCCTTAACTCACTGAGATAATCCAGGAGCATATTGGGGTCAATGGTGTCAAAAGCCATTAAGAGTTCAAACAAAATCAACAAGAGTGATGTTCCCTTTATCTCTTTTCCAGAGACAGGGAGACATGAATTGATTTGCTCCCAAAACCAATCTCCAGACTGAGATGAAAGAACTGTAAATATAATACAATTTAAGAGCATTATAGCTGGGACTATATGTTAAAATGTCTTTTACAGAAATTTTACAGTGGATATTTTATGGATAATATATATTTCCATTGGTATTTTAAGTGTTTTGCATTTAAATCACCAGGACTGCCTGGCAGATTTGGTAAGAATCAATCCAACAAACCAACAATATATTTATTTGGGGAAGCTCACATATGACACCACCAAAGCCTTTTCCATGGTGTGAAAACACAAGAGGAATAGTGTGCATGTATGATTCGGAATTATCTGATTACTTGCACCTGGATTTCACATAAATTCCTTTAGTATAAAGGAATTTTATACTATATTAAACCCTCTCAACGAAATATAAGGTCCATGTCATTTGAGAAATAATTTGAGGAAACCCCTCATGGATTAAATTTATAATTTAGGTGCAACTTCAGACATTTCCAATCATTTGTATACCTGTTTCTAGGAAAACATGCCTGAGTTGTGTAGAAGCTGCCAGAAGGACAAGACGTAGAAAAATAATCAAACAACAAACAGATAGCACATGGCATGCAAAAAAGAATTAAGATATTGTCCAATTAAATGTTTTTTTAAAACATTTGAGTCACAAATGAGACTGATTCAGAGCAGGTTGAAATAAATAGGAAGCCATACTCACAATAGCCTTGTGCAGAAACCCATGCCAAGAGACAGAGGCGACAGTTTAGTACGAAGTGAACAGCAGCCAACAGAAGGAAACTATTTAGTATCTTTTCTGAAGAATATACAATTAAAGCAAGGCATTCTCACAGAGCATGCACATTATCTTCTCTTTCTGTGCTCTCTAAGGTTTCTTTCTCCTATCTCTTCCTCTAGAGAATTCTGAAAAACTATCACAAAGTGTGTTAAGGATAGGAGTGAGCGTTCGTACTCAAAGCAGATATACAGTAAACAAGATAACTTTATGAAAATATGAACTCAAATATATAACAATAAAAAAGGGATTATTATAATTCCAACCTTTTTTTGCATGCACAAGGTTTTGATGCAATATGTACATAAGTCTGCCGAATGCAACCTAGTATAGTGTAGGTTAGAGACCAAAAAATTTAATGCTTATATTTTATCCAAAACATGTGGTTCTTATTTGTATAATGTTCATTTTTAAATATTTCAGTAATGATTGATCATATAATGTACAAATCTAAAACTGCTATGCTCACAAAATTAAAGGGGGGGGGAATTGGGAGTCTCAGCACTTATGGCAGTCTTGTGCTGTGAACATATTAAGCCATTTATCAGTTTCACTTGCTCCAATGCGTTTATCATTCTTAGAAGGTAAAATAGCACCCTCACGTTATCATGGCTCCAATGCTACAAATCAATGTGGACTACATTGATATATATGGTCTCTAAGTCAGAAGATGAATCTTTCTATCAAGTAAATTATTAGCTACCCAGAAAGCTGTAGTTTTTACTGCTGCCACCTGTCCTGTATAGGTTTAAAGCTGGATGCCAGCCGAGTCTCCAGCTGAAAATATCTACTCCAAACCCACCCCATCTCAGCTATTGTTTGACTATCCCATCAGATTTCTGACAGAGATCTGAATGCAAACGTTAGACTTTTTTTTAACCACCAGCTTTTCTTTTGAGAATATCAACAGGATTTCATTAAGAGGATAGGGGGGCAAGAGGTAGGCAGTTTATCAATAAAAAGATTAGGAACAGAAAATGGCATTACTTTACCTTTATATACAAAGATAATGAAATTTGACAGAAAAATTAATATGATTAGCAGGAAAGTAGGGGGCACTAGAACTTTTAGGGCCATGTATTTGTGTATCTTTTCACTTACATCTTCAGCTTTTGATCCTTGCTCCTGCAAAGACTTCTGTAATTCTTCAACCTGAGATTGTACTTCAAGCAATCTCTGGTTTACAAGCCTAGAAATAAGAAACAAGATTTAACTTTTAAGAAGCAGTGATGGGCTTATTTTTCTCCTTAAGAAATCATCCGCTAGTCAAGGATCTTGTGGGTGTTTAGAAATATTTGTGGAAATAATGGCCTCAAGGTTTTATTTTCTTATCAGCACATTCTCCTGTCCTTCAAATGAAGCAATAGTACTAAGTCTCTTTCTAATTATGGTAGAAGTCAATGAAATCACAAATGTATATTAAGGCTGTGTGAAATACAGTTGTTCTTTTAATGAAGTGGATTAGTTTGCTGCCATGGGCTCCATGCTACTTCTCATTCTCCTTTTTCCAGCATCTCTAGCAGTTCAAGATCACACTGCTAAAATACACACCAAACTATTGATTTTTCTCAATGCAGTTTCTTGAGTTCTTCAAATGGAACCAGCACAAAAAATGGGTACCTATAGTCAACTTCTTTTTCTCTTTTTTACCGCCTCTTTTACTGCTTTGAATGTCTAGGGAAATACAAAGTTCTGATTCTTGCTCTTCTGGCGACTTTAAACTCTCTCAAATTGCAACCTATCACATCTATATGGTAACAGGACTAAGTAAGGGATTGCTAGGAGTTGGTAATGTATGGCGTGGCCTTGTGCCAAAGGTCCTTTACGGTAGTCATGAAGGCCATCCTGGGTCACTCTGAAACAGCCTTGCCAAAGGTCTCTGGTGAAGTTGTGACAGGCCCAGCAATCCTCAATAGATAATATATTGCTACAAAAAAGTATAACTAGGTACATATAGGAAAACCTGTATTAAGTTCAACACATCTTTTGAATAAGAAACATTCAAAATGTCCTTTTTTAAAAAGGACAAACGTTTTGACCCTTACTCTAGTGATGATATTACCTCATCATCCCAATATATCTTTGAAGTCTTCAGAATTAACATAAACAATAATGTGCAGTCCCAGCTAAAAAATGTTCTTTTTAATATCTTTAGAGTAGAAGCAAGTGGTTCCAATCTACTTCCACCCCACTAGCCTAAAAGAAAAACACCACCTTCTTACCTGTTCTCTGTTTCTAATTCATTCTTTCTCAGATTGGCATCATCCAAGAGACTCTGCAGCAAAGCAATCCTCTCATTGTCAGAGCCCTCCTGGTGAAGTTTTAGCACTCTGTTTTCATGTTGAAGGCGAATAAGCTTTTCCCTTGAGAAATGAAGCAGGAGTAATGAAATAGTGTCACTTTCTGGGAAAGATCAATACCATCACTAAAGAATGTATGCATTGTGAAGTAACCCTCCTACATTAATTGGACAGCATCTAACTACTTTGGATCATTTTTCTCAATAAATAAACAAATTTATTTAATTCAGTCCTCTTGATCTAGTTTTAGGACTTGTGTTAGGTCATATGTATGCAGAAATAATGAAAAGCCACAAACGTTTAGTCCCCTCCCCCTATAGCTTAATCTAGTTGACAACATCATTGTTATACATCTCCAGCCTTTCTATCCTTGCAAACCATTTTGTTTCCATCATATCTACACACTACTTCATATACTGTATGTGTTCTCTCTTCTTTTTTCAAGGTCTAATCAGTTCCACCCATTCATGTTCTTCCCTTTAAAAAAAAGTTTGGCTTGCCAAACTGGCAGTAATGCTGGTAGCAACCCATCCCTGCAGTAAATATAATCAATTTGCAAATCTGCTCGTGTAAAATAGACCATATATCCATGATGGCGAACCTATGGCACGTGTGCCATAGGGGGCACGCGGAGCCATTTGTTAGGGCACGCCAGGCATTGCCCTGTCAGCTACAGCACCCATGCGCATGCTTGCTAGCTAACTTCGCCCTCCAGAGGCTTCCTTGAAGTGCGAAAAACCACCCAACGCGTAAACCAGTTCAGGAACAGACTTCCGGTTTGCACATTGGCCCGTTTTTCACTACCAGAGGCCTCAGGGAAGCCTCCTGAAGCCTCCGGAGTGCAAAAAACAGCCCTACAGACAAACAGGAAGTCACTGTTCCTGAACTTCCGGATTGCTCGTACGGCCGTTTTTCTTCCTCCAGAAACTTCAGTGAAGTTCCTGAAGCCTCTGGAGGGACTCTTGGGGGGCTGTTTTTGCTCTCCTAGGCTCCTAGAGAGTTTCTCTAGAGGGTGAAAAAAGTGTGCCAAAAGCGGGGGCTGATCACATGAACATGCATGCTGGGGTCGCAGTCACATGCATAGCATTATGTGGGCATGCCCATGCACGACCCCGCTGCACTCCCCCCATTTTTGGCACACGACCCAAAAAAGGTTAGCAATCACTGCCATATATATTCCCAATCTCCTTTTATTCAACATGGTCTTCAGTGGTTTGGTTTGGTTTAGTTTAGTAGATGAAATGCTTTTTTTAAAAAAATGAAAAGAGGGGAAAGGAGATAAAAGTACACTCACAATTCTTTTGAAATTCAAGGAAGGATTACATTGATTCAGGCCTACTAGAGTTTTATTTTTCAAATATTTGCCTGAAGAACATTAAACCCTTTTCCAGTAAATTTAAAGGGAGACTGGGCAAGATCAGTAAGAACTATTAATCTTAGTCCTGATAAAATGTCAGTAATATATGAAGTTAAAAGTGTGACCATATAAAACATTTTTTGTTTATCTTACTTTATTTCTGGAGTAATAATTTCTGCTGCCAAACTGTCAGAAGATTCTTGACCTTCCAAAGGTAATAATCCTTTTTTTAGGGAATGGAGAAGAAAGAAAATATTAAGCAGGATAGAATAGTAAAGATGAAAAAATACTGTGGTTTCAGTTTAACTCTCTCCTATCTGAACCCAATAAATACCTAAGTATGCAATTCAGAGGAAAAAAAATAACAAAACATTATCCTCTCATAAAAATATCCCTTAAAATATACATTTTCAAGCCTCCAATAAAAATTTGCAATCTGGTAAATAGCGATTTTTCCTAATTCTTGCTTAAGCATCTCCAATATTCATTAAATAATTTACATGACAAATAGTTCCTAAGTAAGTACTATTTCTTTCAATACTCTTAACAAAAGGCAAAAATGGAAAAAGTGATGCAAGTTTTAATAAGGGATATAATTTTCTCATAAACCATTACATTTCCAGAATCTTACCTGAAGTAGTTAGTTGTCCTTCTTGTGCTTTTATGCAATGGATCTCTTCAATTGTTTCCTTTAAAGAATCTCTTTCTGTCCTTAGCCGCTACAATTTAAAAAGCAAGATTTTTCACTATTCCAGTAGACAGTTCATAAAGGATGAAGTTATGTTACAGATAGTTCTCGTCTTATGTTCACAATTGGGACCAGAATTTCAGTCATAAGTCAGGATGATTATAAAGTGAGTCATCATTTCATTGGTCATGATTTTACAATCATTTTTATTGCAATTGTTAAATGAATTACCACAGTCATTAAGCAAATCCAGCTTCCCCAATTGATTTTTTTTTCTCAGAAACCAGCTGGGAAAATCACAAATGACAACCGGTTTTAAACGCAAGCCAGTTGACAAGTGGCTGAATTGTGATTACGTGACTGCAGGGGTGTGAAGTGGCCCTGTGAGAATAGATTGTAAATCATCATTGCATCACGGTTTGTTCATGTTCAGATGGCATTTCACTAGCATTTGTACTTCCTTATCACATATAAATATTTTACAATTACATACTTAAAATTCTAAAATGTATTATGAGTTTAAATTAAAGGGAAAATAAGTTAACTAATACTTCTGAAGTATATAACAGGTTGGGGTTATAAAATGGGAAGGAATATTTAATTATTTATCACATAACATGGCCCAATATTTCTGGAGGAAAGCTATTAAAATCCATGAAACTTTTGAATAATAATCTTAGATTAATAATAAAGTTAGCAGGAATCATATTGCTATGATGTTTCAAGAAAAACTAGGTGAAAAGTCTACAACTGATATGTGGATTATCATGATACAGATGCAACTGTAAAAAAGAACTGCAGTACATTATGGTTTATCAATAGAGCAATGCTTGCTTAAGTACACTAGCTCATCACAAAACTTATCATTATCCCTGTGCAACTAAATCCTCTACTCTATTCAGTTTATTATTATATCTTTATATAGATTATAGGGAAAGATAACCTAGCTGAATATACACAGATAAAGAGTTCAAACTTTATTATGAGATATGAGATAAAGAAAATGAAACAGCCAATTTAATTATCAATATTTTAAGTATAAAAGGGAACAGCAACATTTATATGTTGAATACATACATCTTTTTCTTTTTGGAAACTATCTACTTTTTCTTTCAGCATCTTGTACTCAAATTCTAGTTTGTCTGCTTTTTTGGATTCTTCAGACAATCTGTTTTGAAGTTCAACCACCTGCAATAGCAAGAAGGATCACAATGTATTGATATAAAAGTGTAAATCTTCATTAAGAGCCAGTAATAAACTTAAGATAAATCACAGCAACTTTTAAATTGATATTTTCCTTTTCCTTCCTTCTCTCCTCTTCAGTTTCTCATTTCAATTAATCAGACATATTCAAGCCTACAACTATGGTATTTCATGGTAATCAGTACTATTGGAAAAAATCAGTACTGCTGGGAAACCTGGAATAATAGTCTTGCACTCAGAAATATACAATGGTTTATTCATTAATTATTTCTGATTCACACACACACACACACACACATATATCAGAAATAATTAATGAATAAACCATTGTTTATTGTACTGTTGGGAAACCTGGAATGATAGTCTTGCACTCAGAAATATACAATGGTTTATTCTGTACTGATTGCCACTGCTAAGTTTTAATACAATAATTTATTGTTAGGAGAAGAAACCTAAGCAAATTTATGTATATTCCCTGTGTCTCTTAGTTTGACCAATATGGAGCGTCTGAAGCTTCTACTTGAGGTAACGGGGAAAAATATTGCTGTATATTAAGTGATAGCAATGTTAATAATTGGACTCCTAGCATTGAAAGCAACATGTCTTTATTGATGAAAGAATAAGGTCAATTAACATCCCACAATCACTACACTATTTCCCATTTTGATTTGGCAAAATTATACTTCCTATTCAAATCTGTTCTTTTATTGAGATATGTAACAAATAGAAATGAATACAATAAGGAAATATACCAACAGATACAAATGAAAAAGAAATTGGCAAAAAGAATTTGATTTGAAAAGTTATGTGACTCCCAAATGAATTTACATAATTAAAAAAGAAGGAAAAAAACAATTAGAATTTAACAGAGAAAACAACGAGACAAAATCTCTCAACACGTAACCAGAAAAAAAAAAACTGTTTGGCAAACAACCTAACCTTCGGCCTGGGAGCACACCATGACTATTCTAGCACTTAAGCCATCACGCCACACTGGCTCTCAGGAGAAAATGGCAAAATGACTGGCATAAATTATTTTCAAAACAGTCAAAATTATATTTTTGTTCATTCCTGTTCTCACCTGCCTCTTATACGTTTCCAATTGGCTGCGAGCTGCATTGGCTTTCCTCAGTTCTTCTTCCAAGCTCACCGTGTTTTGCATGTACATTGTGTTTTTTTCTTCCAAAAGTTTTACTTGCCTCCGAAGGTCTCCAAGATCTTCTAGCTTCTTTTTGTATGATTCTACTTGGCTTTCTAACTTGGCTACTTTGTCAGATGAGTGCCTGGAAAGAGAAGTGTTGCCAAGACTCAATTATTAGAATCTCTTTGCAAATATATTTCAGTTTATTGGAAGAGTAGCCTTAGATTCATCTATTTTAAGTAACTATTAAAGCTTTGCTACTTAAGGGGAAATGGGACAGGAAAACACATTCAGCAATTCTTGATCTTCACTGAATACAGGGTATATATACCTGACTGCATTCAGCCATGGCACATTGGGACTTTCCAGTGTTGGGACTTCAATCCTCTTGGGAACATAATCATCCTACGGCATAATATAAAACTTCCCAAGCTATAGTAAATGGACCGCTACTGCCCAAAAAATGAAGATGGGACCGAGCAGTAGAACTATAAAAAATCCATGTCCAGTTCTCACAGTGATTTAACCTGGAAGTAGAATTTAAGCATCCAAATAAGTTTACATTGGTGTTAGTGATCTTGCAGTAGCGGTCCATTTACTATAGCTATATAAAATGGAGTTACTGGATAATTATTATAGAGCATAACCAACTGTTCTGTCCCCCCTTCACGGCTCTTAACAAACAGCAAGACAAATAAACTTAAAAGGACTTTCTTCATCAGTTCTCAGTTCAAACTGGCTTCGAGCCCCAAAATAACATAAATACAGTCTCTGACTCAATAACGGAATGAAAAACAAAACAACTCTTACAAGCAATGCACTTCTCCAGTGTAGCTTTGAATCAGGGTTACAAGAAACAGAAAGCACTTATCCAAGTGTATCTTCCATAAACCATGATTAATGATCAAGCAATGTTGTACCAAACAAGAAACGCACGAAGGAATGTTGACTCCTGCGACTAGGGCGTGGCAGCATCCGTCCTTTTATCTCCAAACCTGCCCCTAACAAGCCCCAGATGCATAATGAGTCTTGTATCCCGAAAAGACTCACAGCAGACATCTGCTGAGTCACAACAACCAACTATGCAGGGTATCTGAGAGATCACCTTTTTCTAAGAGTCTCTACGCATCCAACTAGATCAAGCAGAATTGGCATGCTGCAGATCCCAACAGCCAAAGAATGTTGACTGATGGGAACCAGAAGATGAGCTTTTTCCACAGTGGCCCCTGCTCTATGGAACATGCCCCTGCTCTATGGAACATCCCCCCCCCCCCTTTGGAGATTGGAATGGC